AAATTGTTCTTTATGTGTCATATTTGTTAAATGTTTGAAATCCTTTTTATTTTATATTATTATTATGTAATAAACAGGGGTTTATGGACCACAACGTGTAAGAGCTCGAGCCGTTAGACGAGGGCTATTAAAATACATACATACAAAATTTAATGCACGACCCTTTCAATGATAATTTATGACCAAATATATAAAATTTTATGTACGACCGTTTTAATGATCGTTTATTAATAAATAACTAATATTTGCTCTTTTTCGCCTTTTGTGAGCAGGTTATAATATAAGACATTTACGTTACCGTCCGGCGGAAGTTTTATCATTAATAGTATCCATAGCGCCTTGCATTGACTGATGAATTTTAAAAAACCTGAAGGAAAAGTTGCGAGATAGATAGAAAGACAGTACCAATATAACGTTCATCTAAGAGTCCGTCTCAATAGCAACGCTGACATTTTTTCCAGGCGATCCCATTTTGAACGACAATACCGGTACTGTAAAAGACTCGAAGAATGAGAAGAGCCGGTTGAAAAAATTAGTCTACAAGCAACCACTATCAAGCCGGAGGATAACAAAGACGGAATCACCTTTGAAAGCCTGAAAAAAATAAAAAAAGACTATGACTTAAAGGTTGTCCGAGAATGGCTCAGTCATGGAGTCAGATCTACTTAGCAAGAGTTAGCCAAATATTAAAGGTGACTAGACCCATTGGAATTCCCTGTATCTTCACGGTGACCCATTGCACCGGAAGTGGAAGAGCCCCGATGGAGAACATGTAGTCCGCCAACTAATACAGCCGAAATCACATGTCAGAAGTGTGTTGGAGAAGCTTCATAGCAGCCGTCAGGAGGACATTTTGGTACTAAAAGGACACTGGCACGAGTTCGGGGAGAGATTTTATTGGGTCAAATGCCGACGGGATGTAGAAGATTGGTGTAAGAAATATGATGTATGGAATGCCAGAAAAGGGCCCAAAAGACGAAGCCGAGGTAAAATGGCACAATACCTTTTCGCACAGCCTTTTGAAGAAATCGCCGTAGATATCGTTGGACCACTTCCCTTATTAGAAAGAGGAAACAAATTAATTCTTGATGGTCGTTATGGACTAGTTTTCAAAGTGGCGCTTATTCCTAATTGGAAGCGGCGTCAGGAACAGAAGAATTTATGACAAATGACATAGAGTCCCACTGGAATTGCATTGTGACCAAGGAAGAAATTTTGAATCCAAATTATGGCAAAAATTGTTGAACCTATAAGGCATAAAAAAACAAACACTACACCTCTCCACCCACAGTTCGACGAAATGGAAGAAAGACACCATAGAACCATATGCCAGTATCTTTCAATATTTGTATCTGAATATAAAAAGGACAATACAATTTTGAAAAGTATGCTGCTCCATTAACGTGTATGTTTCCAGAAAATATGAAAAAACTAGTTATGTTGTCTTTAGATTTGTGTGCCATAAACGGCTAGTGTTACCAATATGTAACAGTTTTTATCAAAAATATTAGTTTTTCTATTAAAAAAAGTGCATGTAATTAAGTTAATGAAAAACCATTTTTAGCACAGCTACTGACTTTTTATCAGTTTTATCAAAAACGTCGTTTAGGGTTAAGAAAATTCTACCGTAGCCAGATAGTAATAATCTCGTTTTATTTTATTTTCTATAATTATTTATTAACATCTGATTGAGCACCGTCCCGTCTAAGCTATCGTTCCGAAACAGATTCTTTTTGTTCAGTTTTGCTCTGAATTACTGGGACTAGTGAAGGCTTTTGAAATATTTATTTAAATTTTGTTTGTTATTAGCTCTTATATTAACTTTAACAACTTCGCCTATAATTGCGGTTATTTAACCGTGTATCGGACTTTCTCATTTTTCTTTTAGCTTAGGGAAATTCTCTGAACTAATAATAATAAATTAAAGCTTATTATTGCTACCCTCTTATTTTCACAGTCTGATATCAAGGGACATCTGGAATTTTTCAGTCATCTTCACTAGAAGCTGTCTGAGCTCTTTTGAGGCTAAATGAAAAGGTTGTGGACGAAACCACAATAACAAAACTGGCGCTCGAGTGTTTCCGAGCCCAAAGCGTCACTTGTAAGGGTTATATATTCAAGTAAACACCTTACAAATGTAGGGAAAACAAATTGCTTAATCAATTTAATAGGAGAAGAGGTCTTATGGAATGACTTGTTCGATCATTTTTTGATGCAGGTAAAACTTTTGGATCATATTTTATCCTCCAAAAACGAAAACGTTTGGCTGCAGTTTGCTGAATTCGAAAATTGTTGATTCATTTAATTTTGTATTATGTAAATTTAATATATACATATACTAAACTAACATAGAAAATACATAATAAATATGTCAACATAATTAACTTACATATAATTTACGTTGATATTCAGTGCCGGATTTACAATACAAGTGCCCCCTAGGCACTTTTTCCAAGGGCCCCGAAACATTTTTTTTATGGGTTTAAAAAAAAATTATGTTAAGGTATTATCGTATTATATAAAAGGTAAAAAAATTGCATATTATAATTTTTATTAAAAATATTGTTTGCCAACATAACATAAAAATATGAGTACTGATTATTGCGTTATAAAATATACATAATTTTATCGATTGGCCAAAAATACTTATTTAGTGCCTATTTTTAAAGATATATTACTTTTAATTTAAAATCTAGTCTATGGAAACAATGAATCTTATCGCAAAACAGACAAATATTTCATGACATTATTGATCTATCTTGATTTATTTAAAAATGTTAAATTTTAAAATAATTATTGACAATATTGTGCCATGTAACCCATGGCAACATTGCCTGGAGCGTGCCGCTTGTCTTTTGTTTTATCGGTTAGGTCAGATTAAGCCAATGAAGTGGAGAGGGCTAGAATGATAACAACTGTCAATAAAAAAGTATAGACACTATGCACAATTTCGTTTTGTACATTTTGTAAACAAGATTCAGGGACGGTTTAAGAACATTTTGTGCAACAATTATATAAGTAATAGTGCATCGTAAACTATTATCAGGTATAATTTAATACTTAATTGAAATCAAAACACAAAAAATCACAAATATAAGCCAGCCAATAAAGAACCGACGTCAAAAAAGCTCACAACAGCCACAACACAAACAAAAAAATTTGGAATTTGTTTACAGTGCTTTAGGGCAACCTATCCTTGTCATTTACGTGTGTAAGCAAAGGTGAATCATGCACAATTTCTACACTACACGGTTCCTTCAAGATTTGTTAATTAATAAGGATTGATACGTTGGGCTGAGGTATTACGCAAATCTGTACGCAAGCATATGAATATTGTATGCGCTATTTTGACGTATTATCTTTGTTTATAGCAAATAATAGCATTCAGCTTATATTTTATACAAATAAAACCAGAATAAAGACATATAATGCTTGACATTCTATATTATACTCTTCACAATTTAGTAGACCTCTTCTTAACCCCCATTTTCAATCAGATGTTTTTCAGAATCAATTGGCTTTATCCCTTATAAAGCTTGATTTTTCTGAAGATTTCAATTAAAACGTTATTGTTTCTGAGTTAGGAAAATTTTCACAGTAACAAAGCCTACACAGAACACGAGGCTAATGGCCTTAGTAGACGATGCCGATGACACCTAATTAAAAAAAATACTTCAACCCCTTTTATCTCCCTATTTTTATTTATTTATTTATTTCCTTATAGCCTGCTTTACTAAACATTTCATGTTGATATTACTTTTGGTTTCAAGTTTTTTTTTTATTTCAGTCCCCCCTTGTCCCTATTTTATTCAATTTTTTTTTAAATCAATATGCTTTGTCACCTTATAGAGCTTGATTTTTGCTAATAATATCAAGTTGATATTATTGTTCGTTTTTGAGTAAGGATTTTTTAAAATATTATAACCCCCCTTAACCATCAATTTTTATTCAGATTTTTATTTATTGATTCATTGATTTTTTTCAGAATCAATAGGCTTCATCTTCTCATAGAGCTTAATTTTTGCTATAAATTGCAAGTTGAAATCATCTTTCGTTTTTGACTTATTGTGAGGACAAAAAGCATGACATCTGTAATAAATACCCTTCACAGACTACTGTGTGAAGAGTATAATAAGAAGTATTTATTTAATTATAATAAAAAAACAATGTAAATTAAATTCAGGTAAACTTATATTTTTTCTTGTTTTCGGTTTTCTCAGGTATTAATCAATACTAAAACGTTGGCGCCCTTTTGGGTCTTTTTGCCCTTAGGCAATTGCCTATTGTACCTAGTGGTAAATACGGCCCTGTTGATATAGTATAAAATAATTTTCCATTTATTTAACTTACACTGAATGTCCAGACAACCAGTAACACAGTAATATTTTTAAGCTATTCGTAATAATAATAATAAACATTCAATAAATTCTTTGTGATAAAATTAATAGACGATTAAACATTTAAAATCAATAATTAGTCTCGTCGTCTGTTTTTATAAGCGTGGTGTGGTTATCTAGAAGAAATCTTTATATTTATAATAAATATGGTATCAAATGTAAGAACAAAAAAAAAAGATTTACATTTTATATATTTTATGTGTGCATATAGGTAATTGGTTGCATGCATAACTGTTCCGTCCTTGATAAGAAATTATTTAACACCTTTTAACTACCTACCTTATTATTATTCTGTATTGTAAATATATTGCTTAGAGAAAATAAAGTAAAACATCACCACTGATGTAGAATTATCGATGAACTGCAATTCGTGGTGTGTCAATAAATTCGCAATTACCGTTTTTTGATACATTTTTGTGTCATTAAAAATATCAACCAATTACTAATAGAAATACCATAGACAGCAGACATGACAATGTGATATAATGTTGAATAGATGCCATTTGTATCTATTTTAGCTCCAAATGAGAAATAGTTGATTTGTTACACTGCTCAGGTTTGCAGAAACGATGAAATATTAACAGTTCTTAAAAATAATTTTAGATTACAATGAAGACTGAAATATTTGTGATGAAAAGTGTGATAATTTTATTGTTTACATTGAAATGTTCAAGCGTCGAAGATGTTAGAAAAGGAGCTGTAGTTACAAATGGATTTGGATGTTCAGAAATCGGAGCGTAAGTATATTTTCTACTACTATTTAACGTTTTTTTTATACTGAAATTACATTGTTTTAAAAATGTATTTAAACAATGAAACATCAACTAGACTTTTCACTTTAGGTAGGGACATAAATATGTATTTTTTCTACACCCACATTGATATTAGCTTATCTTGTGATCAAATGAACGAATATATTTCATATCCACTCTAGGTAGTGAGAACACTGCAAAGAAATGAAATCCACCAATAACAGTTCATATTTTGGACATCCAACTACTATTTTTAAAATTTTAAATAAATGACAACTCTGTTAAACTAATTGTCTTACGCCCGTATGCACCGTACACGTTTAATCCAGATCAAGGGTTTAATCGCGTTTAGTACCATTTTTAGCTATGGTACTAAACGCGATTAAACCCTTGATTTGGATTAAACGTGTACGGTGCATACGGGCGTTAGGGGACTGTAGCTCTAAAAAGGGATCCCTAATTTGTTATGCATCCTCATCTATAAGACAATTATCTTCATCTCTTCAATTACCTTTTAAAATAAACCAAACCAAAACAGCACAAAATTGAAAGTGATCTACTTTTCACGACGTATTCTATGTACATGTGAGATTATTATTTAGATTTTATTAAATTGAAATATTTTATCCTAAAAAATATAGGCATTTTATAATGAAAATATCTTAAAAAAATGGTGATTTTTTTCTTATATTGGCAAGCCTGGCGACTACTATTTCGAAAAAAATGGCGTCCAAGATGGACGCCTATGTCGCGACCCCCTTAGATATACCAGCCCTGATGAAGACCCTACTAAAATATCTCCCTCCAAATTGTATTTGTTTATCCCATTAGATACTAACGCAACATGCATATTAAAATAGTAATTTTTACATCAATTATTTACCGGATCCATTTTTTTCATAGCAGCCACTAAAACTTTGGTTTTTGCACTAACAACTGACGAATATCGAATGCATCTAATAAAAAAATAGGCAACCAGAGATACACGACAAGATATAAAGTAAGAGGGCCGACATAGGCACAGGGCCATCATAGGTCATACATTCAAGATCAAATAAATCAGTTTATCATTAGTACACCACAAGTCACCAACACGTCAAAACGATCAGCAAACAGCGTGTATAACTTGTCAGGACCTGTATAGTAAACAAGTACATGACGACAGGAAACCAGGTTAAAGAACAAGTATTTTTCTAAAAAAAGATCCTCAGCTTATATTTATAATAAACCAGATCCTCCGCTTATTGTAACTATTGTTTAATTTAAAAAAATAGTTTATTCTTTCGTTCAGACCATTCGTTTGCTCTGGCAGCTGTTTCAAACTGTTTAAGGTATTGGGTCCATGACATCTTTCTACTTGTTTCTACAAGAGAATTTAATAGCTAATTTAGAACAGTAGCAAAATACTCTAAAAACTAATTTAGAGAAACAACAAGAGAATTTAAAAACTAATTTAAAACAATAACAAGAAAATTTAAATGTTTATTTTGGGCAACAGCAAAAGAATTTAAAAGCTGTAGTCTAGAGAAGAATGTATGTATGTATGTATGTTGGAAAGTGGGTGTTAAAACACTGTGACCTAAAAGATCTATTGTGCCCCCTTCTGTCGCTAATGCAGCAAGGAAATGTCTCAATCCTATCTTCTCAAGGAAGTGTAGGATTTGAGTGGCTTTAAGTTAGGTAAATCTCCCTCTTCTATTTGATATGCTCCTATGTATAGTGCCCTTGGATTCTGAAGTGCTACACATAGAATTTGAATGGAGGTTTCGTCCTCTTCCTCCTCCTCCTCCTTACAGAATCTGCACTCACTATGTTTTACTACTCTCAGTATACTAAGGTGTCCTTTTAGTCGATAATGCTCAGTAAGGATCCCTGTTACAATAAGTAGCCTTTTCTTGCTTAGGTAGATGCAAGCTTCCGATATTTCCTGGTTATATTCACCCAGAAGTATCTTAGCCTGTCTCAGTCCCAAGAGATTGTTCCAATTATTGGTTCTTCTACTGCCCAATTCTTTTTAATTTCTCCTAATATTATGTTACTGCTGATACTATAGAACGGCTCAGGTCCCACAAAGGGGTATTTGAGTCCCTTTCCTTACGAGACTGTCTGCAATCTCGTTACCCTGTACCTCGTTATGTCCCGGTACCTAAGTGAGAGTAACTTTGTTTTTCTCGTCTAGCTTATTCAATTTTTATCTCTTGTCTACGATAGTTTTTCTCGATGTTAAACTGGATACACTTCTCGTTGGCGTGAATTTCCACCTGAAAGATGCTTGGGTATTTTCTCAAGCTTTCGGAGTGCTTGGTTCTAAGCCCATACACTCCTGTTCCAATTCCTTCTATGGTTTTGGAACCATCCGTATACTACTGAATAGCATGTCTTTCGGTTGCAAGCGCGATGGATTCTTGGCTCCATTATTTCTTACAGCCCAGCTCTTTGGTTTTGAGAAGAGAAGAAAGGGGGGCAGTAATTTAATTTGCAGAACGTAGTACAGGTTCAAGAGGTAGACATTTTATGTAGACTTCATCTTTCAATGCGTATTTATAGTTAAAATAAAAATTTTATTACATCTGATCGGCCTAATAAAAGTTTTAGTTCATATTTAATCATGTTTTTATTGTATTAAACCTTTTATTTTAAGAGATAAGTCAGACTTTCTTTAATCATAGCCATATTGTACATATTTTAAATGAGTCGGAATTTTGTATTAGTAACCAGGTGTTCAAATTAAAGTGTTACAGGTAAATACCGCCGAAAATATGCATTTAATAAAAAAAAGTTTCAGACAAAGCGGTGTAAGTTCTTCCAGACTCCACTGAAGTAGGGCTGGATAGATACCATCATCGTATTTGTAGATGGTGTTGGTTACAAAATAATTAAAAATCCGTTATAATTTCGTATTCAAAACAAACCTATCATGTCACTTTAGGATCGCGTTGACGTTTGCGTGGTCAAATAATCAGATACGTGTTTTTCATTGGCTCGACATTCGTGTCGAATGGCGAACATAGAAGTTGGTCTTCTCTCAGCGTCAACTGAATTCGAACTAAGCGCGAATGTCAACGGACGAATTTTATAAATGACAGTGCACATTTTGCTTTGTCTAGGTTCGAAACTGAGCATCAACTAAACGCGAACTGAACGAAGTTTGTAAATTCAGCTTTAGAGACAGTGCAATTTGCCTTTTTTGGGCTAATTTTATAATTAAACCATAAGACGGATTTTAGTATAGCTAACTTTTATCTAAAGTTCACGTTAAAGTTTCTTTAAAAGCAGTCATAAAGGTTTCCCTACAAAATTTTACAATGTTAGTATTTTTAATCTTTATTTAAATATAACATTTACTGGAATAGACACAAAAATAAATCTAACGTACACATAGGAGTTGGCAATTTAAAAACTTGCTATATCATGAACAAAAGGTGATATTAGAAAATTAAAACTTAATAATATTTTGTACTTATTGGCTAGAGAAATATTTGAAGACATAAGGAGGTGCTGATATTTTATTTAATCCTTTCTTATATGTGACAAAAGCAAAATGGTAGGACGGCTGTCACATATATAATATATGCGATACTAATCGCATCAGGAAGCACTTTAGATCTTGACTTGCCAGTAGTTCATACCGTATACAGTGCCTGTCTCTAAACGTTTTTCAATACGTTTTGCACAAGTACTTGTGAAAACAACAGATAGTTAGCATTAGGGCGAACAGGGAACGAATAATATCAGTGTTGCCAGTTTATACGGCCCGACCGCGGTGTAAGGTTGGCTGGGCGGTATAAACTGGCATCGCTGATATTTTTCATTTCCTGCTCGCCATAATGCTAACTTTCTATAGTTTTTACACGCCCTCGTGCAAACCGCATTAGAAAGCATTCGATAGCCAATACTGTACACTAACTTCTGCGCGGCAGATATAGCTCTGGGTGTTCTAAAGATAAGACGCTTCGTGACAGGCTTCAGAACGTTGCTATAGGTATATTTCTGGCTTCATTCCCCGACTCTCAATTTATAGAACGAGCCCCGTCTACAGGTTCTTTGAAGGTGCCCGATTCTTCCGCAGATGACATCTTCTGTTCTCATTTTTGGCTATACCGTTGTATATTTTGCAGACTATTTAGGATTTGTGAAAGGGTAGGTTGGAAGATAGTATTAGTAGTGTTCTCTTCACTTTTCTGGAATCTTATTCTTCTTAATTTTGCGCGAGAAGATATAGATATGATTTTTGCTACTTCTTATATCCGAGCTGCAATCAGTGTCTCACTCAGCGTCTTGTAGTGTTGTAGCCAAAGAGTCTGCTGAATTTCCACATCCTGTAGTCAATCAATGAATGCCTACGGCCCAGCCATTGGCTATAGCTGCAGATTCAAATTGGGGTCGATACGTTTTCCATGTTGTCGGACCGTCAAACGTGGATGGTTTAATGGTTTTGCTCGTATAGCTTTGTGAAAGTAGGTTTTGGATATGGCTTGGTTCGGTTATATATGAGGACGAGGTAGTGTTTTCAGTTTCTCTGTTACTTACCAAAGCTAGGCTACCAATTTTTCTTTCTAACTCAACTAGTTCAGTTCTAATTTGTCTTTCTAATTTTACTCTAGCTGATTCTTATTGTTTTAAATTAGTTTTTAAATTTTCTAGTTATTGAACTAAAAGATCTATTTGACTGTTTAGCTGACCTACCTCTTGCTTAAAGTTTCTTGAATTTGCAGCAATCTATTTATAATTTCTACCTCAGCTTTTCTAAGCCTCTCTTCCTTTTCCTCCCCTTCGTTCTTTCTGCCTCTTTTCTTCTCCTCCTCTGCTTCCTTTCTGCATCTTTCTTTCTCCTCTTCTTGCCTTTTCTTTTCCTCCTCCATCTTTAAAAACCGTGCTGGAAGACCTGAAATATCTATGCCTGGTTCGTATTTAGTGGATCTATGTCAACGGCGACGATGAAGCAACCCAAAGTGACCAATCTTTACCTGCTGAGAAAAACTACG